TTGTGCAGCGCCATGAAGGCCTCCAGGACATCTGGCATCACAACCTTGTTTGCTGAAGGCTGCATCTGACACAAACCTCATCCTCCTTGCAGAAATAAATGATATTCATGGATACCTGGAGGAGCACCTGTATTAGGGACATTGGGAACTGAGTTTTGCTGTCTTCCTCAGCTTGTATGTTTGACTTAAGTACAATATTAATTAATGGACCCTAGGTAGGAGACTTCAGGTATATCCACCAATTAATTTGTATTTTAATTTTAGAATTCTAAGAACTACGACAGGTGAGATCAAAATATTTTATTTATTTTTATTGTACTAATCATATATCACATTCTGATCATACCTACTTCTGAGAATCTTACAGACCTCCAAAATACTAAGAGCACTAAAAATCAATAACATGATAGACCAATGTAATAAAATAACTTTAGAATAAAAAAAAAAGTCCGACACTAAGGAACATTCATGACCTCTTTCTTATCAGGAGAGACTAAAATGACTTCCTCCAGAACTTAATTGCCTCGCAAAAAGCTAACGGGGTCAGAAACTGTGTGATATCAGGGAAACACTGTTCCAGAGAAGAGGGCAGTAAGGATATCCCCCTTTAAAATGGATAAGGAATCTTTGAGAAAGAATTTCATTCAGTATTCAAGAAGTGTTTACATTTTTTCACACAAAAATGCATTGAGTGAATAGTGCAAAAAAGCAAACCAATAACTGCTACACGTATGTACACATGCAATTATTTTAATTATATTATTATTCACTTATAGAGTTCTTTCTTTCTATCTATCAGAAATCTGTCAGAGACAGTAAGAATCTTTGCCTTTTCTAGGGATCTAATAGACGCTCTAAGCTGAGAGTTGCATGCAGCCATTCAGGAAATATATACTACTGTTACCATGCCAACCCAATCCTGAAAAATAAAATCATCACTGCTCAGTAGTAATAGCTCAGAGAAGCAACTGAATCTGGCAACAACCCAATTACTCCCCCATTCCCTCTCTTTCACAAACTGCAGGGTTTCCTAACAAGCAATATTTTTACATTATTCAAATAGTACTCCAGCAAAGTCTATAAACCACTCTAGGGGCACATCAGCAAAGTAGCTTTCCATACAATTAATTTAACTCAGTCAGTAGAATGAAACACACACAGTGAACAACCTTTGCAGAAACGTAGGTGTCTTTCTCTACTGCGACTATGAACACACAACTTGCTATGTGCAATGTAAGGTAAGGCAATGCACTATCCTGTGTTGCCTCCAGAAATAGTATAAAAATTGTAGCTATGCAATCCCAGGAAAAGATGCAGCTACTTTAAAAAGCTGCTGAGAGGTCCTATATCCAGGTAGGTTTCTGTCCACTCCAAACAGCCTTTGGAAATCAGTTCTGAAATCTTAGACACAATTATTTCTTATTACTCATATACTCTCATATAGTACCCAGCACTATTTTCCTCCATTAAATGAAGGCAACATATTTTAGAGATAGCAAAAATTTTCTCAATGGGAGGGAGAGAGAGTCAATGGACATGAGATTATTAAACATCTCTATCATCTCTATCATTTCTGAAAATGGCCTCATTCCTGGAAATTATCATTACCATGGCACATTTCAGGGATATGGTTGCCACTACATGATAGATAGATAGATAGATAGATAGATAGATAGATAGATAGATAGATAGATAGATAGATAGATAGATAGATAGATAGATAGATAGATAGA